TAATGTGTTTTGACCACCGAAATCTTGCAGCTCTGTTGATGGGGGCTAGAGGTTTTTGAGGGGAGTAGAAAGCCGTTCTCTTGATTGGGAGCTGATGACAAGCTACCAAGTCTTAACTTGGAGAGGAAAAGCGTTCGTTCTTCTGAGCACTATGATACGGTCGGTTACTTTCTAACTCTTGTTTCGCAGGGCACTACCTGATAAAGAAATAATAATTTTTAAGAGAGATTTGTAAAATCGGTAATTGAAAAGACCAAAAACCAACACGACATCGGAATCCTTAAAAAATATTCCTGAGATGCCAGACACTGCGTAAATATCTCAAAGGTTTAGCAAAATATCTTTTGGTCGACATCTGTCCTTGAAGTAAACGTCTGTCTAGAATGGAATGTGAAATATATCCTCGGATTGGCATTACTTCTTGGGTGATTCAAGATTTTGCTCCTCTTGGTAGTCGTGCAGGTGAAAGTAAGGGATTATAGGTGGAAGTAATTTGAGGGATGTATTCTGACATAGACTACTGAAGTGTTTCCTCCCCTTCTCCTGTTTTTCTTTCGCCAACAACGGGAATCGCTCCACTTGAGCAGAGTAGCATGAATTATGCGTCCTTTGGGAGACTCAAATCCGCCTTTCCATGATCATCTATCCTTCACCTAGGTAGTGGAATTCGAACCTCTGCTTACAAAGACCCTCTTCTGCGGTTGTTTTGTTGGTCGAATCGATGGCACTTGACAATAGTAAAAAGCGCGTTAGTTTTCCACCGAATGAGTCAAGCTGTCAAAAATTTTCACGGTTATTTGTAGAACACGAAATGTAGGCGAACCTTACTCTCGTGCCCATTTTGCCCAAATTGAAAGGCAAATCATCGTAAATTTAGTAACCACGGTTGCATTCTATCATTTGTTTCTTGGAGAGGCTCTAATTTATTGCGAATTTTGATTTTGTCTAAGAACACTTCTTTAATCACCCATTTATGCTGACGTACATGTTTGGCATGTTTGATGTCAGAGAAATGCATCGGTCATCACTTAGAAGAACGTATAGCACCAGAGGAACCCTGAAGTCAAGAATGGGAACACGTTTGTGACAGTACGTCCTGGCCTACATCCTCGAGTTGTGCCGCTCCAACAGGCCTTGCGTTGAGTTTATAGCACAAGGTTTCCCCTGACCAACTGACTACCCCTGGCTTTATTAATAAAATGCTTTTGTTCTTTCAATTAGAGCAGTATCTAGTGGCTAGAAATAATTCCGTCGGTTAAACACCACGCCAAAAATGGTCCTTTTCCTTATAGAGAATAGCAAACTAACACCAGTAAAGAGACGTCCGACGAGGTATTGCAATAAGCATGGAAGCTGAAAAATAATTTAAAATATCCTTCAAAGAATTGCCTAACGTTCAAAATGTTATAAGAGCTTGTAAATTCCTTTCTCCTCTGCCTTTAGTATCACTTACACTAAAGCCTGGACAGTTTCATCGCTCTTATTCAGTGTTCCTCTAACCACTACCGAATGTTAGCTACTTCGTGGCCATGGCTATGTAGGGATAAATGATTGGTGCGTCGGCATAAGTAACACGGCAGTGCTTCCCTCTCCGCCACATAATCCCTTGTAATCCAAATGCGCGAGGATCGGCCAGTGTTTTGGTGCTGCTCTTCTTGAGTGTTGCAAGCATGCACTGTCGAATAGTTCAAGAGAGATGACACTTCTCAGGCTCTAGATCACCCAAAGTGGCGAAAAACGCAATCGGATGCATTAGCACCTCTTCAGTGGGAAAACACGCTCCCGTCAAACAAAACAGCAGGTGACCTTCAAGAATCAAAAGGAAAACTCATCTCGTTAAAATTAGACGGCTATACTGTGCGCCACCATTAAAACTAACTAATGTACGTAGATTCTGCTCCACCTCCTTCTTCAATTTGTAGGCTTTAATGGCGCTAAATTCTAAAAACACAAATTTGCCTTTAGTTATGCTCTCAATAATTAATGGGATGATTGATTTTGGACATAAAACGCAAAAATACAGGTGTGAAATTCTGGAAGTCAACTGAAATTCCTGTGCAAATAAGTAAAGGATCTTTCGAGGTAGCAGTTGGTTCTAGAGTTAACGCTGCTCTAATGAAAAGAGCAGAAAATGAGGAATGAATTATTTGTGCCTATTTCCTCTAATGCAAACACAAAGCTGAGGGAGTGATATCCACCACCTCACGCCCCCTCCACCGTCCCAATTTTATTACCGTGTTCGGCGCCGTTCGCCTTGCAAACACACCAAGCTTGATGCAAATAAACACAACCACTGACAACTTTAACACCTCATTTAAATGGTCTTTACTGCCGCCGACGGAGATTGTTGCATCGGCTCACGGCTCCATTGCCAGAAGTTCTAACCACCTGAGGTGGTGGTGAAGGGAGAGCACCCTGCTTACTAGCGTGCAGGTGGGGTGGCAGAAGTGCTTCTCTCCTCGACACGCGCCTCCTCCTCTTGCATTGGTGAATACGTCTTCGGTCTTATTCGGTTGGTTCTGATCGTCCATGCCAAAGGGGAATGTGTCTTCCCACCTGATATTTTAACCAAATCAGTAAACACCCAAAGCAGTGGTGAAATAACATGCACCTACAAGCGTACAGATAAATTGAGAGGCCAAAAACATGAACCGAAGACTATGTGGAACAGAGTGCATCAGAATCACTCTCTTCTTCCCAGGGACTAAAATATCGCCCACGGCTTTGTTATCTGCAGTGGATGAGTTGTTCATGAAAGAAAAATCAAGAAATCCGTGGTAATGATGAACACCTGGATTGCAAACAACCAACAAGAGTCAAAGTAGTTATAACGAGATCGTCTGCACTTGTACGTTACAGAGAAAGAGCAAAGAGTACTTTAATTATACGTTGTTTTACGTTTTAACTTGAAGGTACTATTTGGAAGGCTTTTGTCCTCCAACAGCAATTTAATTTACCCGGAATTTGTGCCGATTAGTAAGCTTTGTTTCCATTTTGACTACCTTTCTCTTGCACATCCTTGAGGGGTTTGGTCACTTAAAACAGGTGCCTAAATTGCCCGGCAATCAACCGCATCTCTTTAGGTGCTGCGCAACACCTCAGCTACTCCTATGAGGAGCAGACTCCATTACCACCCCTTCAATAATATCTCATTCGCTAACCGAGAAAGTTGATCACTTGCATTAGTATGAGTAAGAAGCAGTATGCATTCTTAGTTTCTCCTCACTATTTCAGTTAAGCGCGGCTTGATGACCTTCATCCGCTCCTCTCTAGATGGAGCCAACACCACCTGGTGCTTCAACTACATTATCAACGGATCACGATGGAAGGGATCAGGTTGTCGATTAATGATGCTTCGTGAGTTTCCTTGTTCCTTTCTCCTCTAAAACTGACAACTGCCTAGAAAAACGCTAAGAGCCATCGCAAGTCTACCTGATCCAAACGCATTCCTTTTCCCGTCTGTGTGGTGTGCTTGCTAGATAGCCTATGAACGAAGCATTCAACAGTTCGAAGAGTTCAATTAATGAATAGATAGATTGTTATCAAGGCTCTTTTGGGAAGAACTTGTAAAACGTAATTCGAATGTCATTTTGTGGAAGAAGAAGGGGAAGAAGGAGAAGAGGAAAAAGTGCAAGTGTATGGCAATTAAACAGTGTGAAAAAGAAATGCCGAAGCACCAGTTGCTGTTAGTCAATCCATTCAATGACGCTGTTTGCACGACAATTACCCACCTCTCCTCACACACCTCCAGCACCGACAGATGGGGAAAATATTTTTAGCTGGCTGACCTCGGTCACCATAGAGGGCGAGTATTTTGGAGCCTCTCCAAGACTGCGCTTAAAGTCGTGCTCACCCAAGGTGGTGGTGGAGAAGATACTACCTACCACGGGATGGGTGGGGTGAAAGGAAGCCTAATAGCATGGCCCGAAGACCATGTAGTGCAGAGCAGGGAGGAAGCATACCCCTTCCTTTGTCAGAATTTTCCTGTTTGCACATTGTGGGACACACAAACAGACAAAACATCACAGGTGGTTTTTTAGCATTTGATTCCTTTAAAGATGCCTACATGATCTAAGCAGGCAAATGAGATTGTGGTCATTGGAAATAGGCAATGTGATAAAGGTACCCAAAAATATTTTTTAATGACGCTACCACAGTTGCTTTCCTGGCTTTTCCGTTCAAATCAGGTCTTCCACGCACACCGATGGTTTTGAATAGCCATTTGCTGGACAAAGTACCTGTTGACTGGATCACTTTCAGACCTTGCATCCTTCTTCAATTTTTCTCCTTAAAAAAGTAAAAGAAGAAGAGAGGCACTGTGGTGAGGTGGACAGTCCAGTGTTGACAATACGGAACTATCTGCTCGTCCATTGTGTCTACAGTGAGCGTATGGGTTTCTAATCCACCAACAATTAGACTGTAAGGCCTTAAAGGTCAAGTTACTGCTCGTCATGTCACCTATATGATTACTTATTGACACCTAATGAGGGAGTTGGTCCTGTGTCGACTTTCCCTATAATAAGTATATGCAACTCACTCACCATTCACCTCACTCTCCAAAAGACCACTTTGAGTTTGTGTGCAATTTCTGCAGAAATGATTACCTTCTGTGGCCTTTCTGACTGCTGAATATTAAACATTTATGACTCTAGTCAAATGGATACACGGCATGCTTTCTTTCTTTGAAATTGTTGGAATGGCTGGAACTAATTAGATGATAAAAGTGTCCTGAATTTGCACAAGGCACATACACATCTTAAGCCGATGCCAAACTCACACATAGGGGAAGATGCTTCACTAGATCTAGAGCTGAGAGAGAGAGTGATGGAGGGCAGGCGATACTACCCGTCAAAATCTGCTCTCCGTGCCTTTTACCAATCAGGATGGACAGCTAATGCGTAAATAGAGAAGTATACCAGAGGTGAGAAAGGCAAAGACTTTTATTCTTCCCTTCCAGTTGCTGATCATGTCTAAGCCCCAAAAATGGCCATTCTATCCCCTTAGTTCCTCATGTTTATGTGATTTTCCTTTCCCCCTATCGTTCGAAGACTGTTCATGATTAATGCCGTTGCTGAGTCCATCTTCTGATTTTCCAGTAATGATGGCTAAGAAAACGACGAATTATCGTCCAACTACAGCGAGGTAGATCTTAGTGGATGGCGTACAAATGTAATGCCACCACATCACCTCAATTTCCTCGAGCGTCTACTTTTTTGTTATCACATTTGGCGGGTTCAAAGGAAGGCAGGACACAGAGTCAGTGAATGCATCTCTCTATCCATTTGGAAGTGGAGGAATACAAACGAGAGCGAAAGAGTTGCTTCTTGCCAAATTGCTTGATTCTGTGGATGCACTCCCTTTCCTCTGCTTTCATAATACACGAGGCAGAAACTTGGGAAAAATAATTTTGCCATTTTTGCAACTTCCTCTCTTATTGCCGATGTCGTATTTCGGCTCTATCAAGGCATTGGAGACCGCAGGACTGAGGGCAGTGGAGCGTAGGAAGTGCTCATCGTCGAAAGGAAGTACTTCCCGTCGGTGACCAAGCTGGCCGCTTGATGCCGCGTAACCACACATTCGTCAATTTGAGCGCAGACTCACAGCACTGGCTTCTGTTTTACCTGTGGGAAAACCTAGAACAAATGCTCTGTGAGAAGAAAATAGCTTAGAAGCCATCACTTTTGAAACGTTATTCTAATTTCACTAAAAAGGAAGC